AAGATATTTTACAAAGCTTAATTTGGCACAACAACCAATTAGGTATTATAATTAGAATTAATGATTTGTATATGGTTGGACTAAACAACCTTGAGGATCCTTCTAACTTGGCAGTAAGAATCTGATTTTTGGATTCATGTAGTGTTATTCCCACTTGACTTGTCAGAGGACACAAAGTTCATAAAAGTTGGAGATAAAAATTAATATTGTCTGGAAATTTAGGAATTTTGTAAATGTGTATGTTCTCCAAAATCTGCTTCTCACTGAGTTGTTTAGTAAGCAAAATTTCATGTTGTTAGTGCAAAGTCATAGGACTTTAGATCTCCAAGGCATTAGCCTCTTCGTTTCTCAGTTTTCTTATCTCTAAGTTGAGAGTTTGGTCTCTCTAGAAGGCCTTTAAGTCTCTTTCCAGTTCCAAATCTATGATCCTATGAATTGTATATGCAAGTTTGACTTCCCTAATAAAATTCTGATAGTCTCTCTAATGTTCTTCTAATCTCATAAAAAAAGTTTGAACAGTGTAGCAAGTATAGCAAGTTCTCTCTGGTATGGCTATCCTCTTCCCTATGTAGCCAGGCAAGCTATAAGTCCCTTTCAGGATTCTAGGGTACACAGAGGGTTTTGTGGTATCTCTGCTTCCACTGGCTTTAGCACCCATTGGCTATGTTCTACTGACTATTAGGTGCCCGTAGGTAGCACCCCAGCTCCATTTAACACATTAATATCAATTAGTCTTTTTTAATTAGTCTTTATTAAAGAAAATTTACTTTGGAGATATAGCAATGACAAAAGTACAAATATTTCTTCCTATTACCTCAAGCATACTGTCTTCATCTCTCAATGATTTTTGGGGAAAATGATCAGTTTCTATATAGCATTGGTCCCACTGAGTTCGCATCAAAATATGGCATCACCAGATTCCTTGTCTCAGCTACCACTATGCTGGGTTGTGAAGTTACTCCCCTTGATCTTTGGGACATCAAAGTGGAGATGCTTGCATAACCCATTCTTCTTTCACCTAAAATGGAAAAGAACAAATTCTGAGGCCAACCAAGAACCCAAGCTTATATTCACAAGGCTAATTGGCCTCAGAAGAAGAAGTCCTGAGGCCTCTTCCCTTACAGCATCATCCTTCACTGAATGCCATGAGTGAAGGAATCAAAAACATCCACCAAGATGGAGGAGCCAAACAAAATGTCAAAGATACTGAGCTAAGATTGACTCAGGCCTTTTTGAATGTCTCCGCAGCATCAAAGAGCTTCATATTCACTGCAGGGTTCTCCAGCCAAAGTCAGTGACAGAATATCTGCACGTGTTCCCCTATCTCTCCAAAGCACTTCATTATATGTCATCATAACTCCCTCTAAAGTAAGCTCTCCAGCCTTTTCCGTGAGGGGGAAATCGCATCAGCTGACACTGATATACTCTGTACCTGTGGCAGTCTCCTATTATACAAGTATTTTGTCATGGAATCCATAAAAATAGAACCTCATATTATTCACATGTTGACACAGTGAGCTTAATGAACAATGAAACTCAATACCAAAACAACTTGTACAACCTGAACCAATAACTCATTGCCATCGTAATTCACGTTACCTACAACATATTAAAGTAAAGAAGGGGTAGAAGTGTGTTCCAGATACTGAAGAGAAATTAGCACAGAAGGTGGAGACACAGCAACCAAAGCACAACTATTGAAGGGAGAAAGAGAAGTTAATTTTGTATGACAAAGGAGAATTACAAGCAATCAATTTGAGACTGCATCTCAATCTTTAAAGGGGAGAACTTTTTGTATTCTGTATTTAAGTTGCTCCTGTCACTATACTATCCAACAGAATTTAGCTCATCTAAGGTACTTTGGGGCAAGTTTCTACCAAGGTCTTTACCGAAATGCATCGATCAAAAATAACAATGAGACCAGCAGCATCCCAATAGTGGGTGGGCTCAGTTGGCTTGGACTGTGGTACTGATGAGGCCAGCATAAACTCAATCCCTGCCTATGTGAAACAGACTTAATTTCACTCAATTTTATGCCAACATATTGTAGATCTAAACTTTACCACCATCTTGCAGATGCTTGTCATTGGTTGCAAGGGGCATTAGGTCACCAATGGCAGATGAATTAGCCATCAAACTATCATCATACATGAAAAGTGACTCCAAGAATACATGGAAAAGCTGGCTAGCTTTTCAAATTATTTTGAAAATGATTTCTTACATTACAGATAATACTGGGCTTCTCACTATGTCTTGAAATACTTCTTTCTCCTTTCTGGGGTGCATGTGTATATGTTTGTGTGTGTGTGCTCGTGTGCATGTGCACATGCACGCACACAGATCGAACATCCTATGTCTAGGTTTCATTTGGGTCCCTGTTCCCAAAAGACTGCTCTGAGCACGCTAAATGTTCTTGGTGGAACTTCAGGAATCCTGAGTTCATCTCATTGTAGACACACAGACAGAAGATGAAAGAAAGATTTTGCATGCACCAAAATACTTTTTTTTGTGGTAGAAGCAATGAATTGGAAGCAAAGTAGATGCCCATTTATTAAAAAAAAGTTACTGCTTCATAAGAAAACAATGAAGAACCCAGAGAAGTATGGGAAGATGTGTATGAACCAATTGCAAAATGAAGCAAGTAGAACCAGAAAAACAACATACACAATGACTACAATACTGTAAACGGAAACAATAACAACAATAAAGAAACTCACCTCTTTTTAATCATATTGCTCAAACATAGTCTTGAAAATGAGAAGAGAAAATGTACCTCCTCCCCTTTTTTATAGAGGTGAAGAATCATGATTAGTTTTTCTGAAATGTTTTTTTTCCTCTCTTTAATTTTTTTTTTTTTTGCTTATAAGAGGTGGCTCTCCAGGGAAGAGAGGAGGAGTGATAGATTTAGAAATGGAGTCAATGTAAAAACAAAGTATATCAGCAATTAAAAAAAGAAAAGATTGCATTTAAAGTTACGCAAATTTGGAACATTACCTTGTTAAAAAAATACATCTTCTAAAATGTATTACACAATGAAAGGGGTACCTTGTAAGGAAAAGAAAAGTCAGAGTATTTAGAGACCAGTTGACCTGAGTTTGAGTTCCAGTTCTACTACTTATCACCAATGTGACATTAGGCAAGTCACCTTACTTGTCTGGACCTCAGTTTCCTCATTTGTAGAAGAGAAGATTTATCTAGATCTCTTTCATTTCTAGATTCTATGAAGAAAAACTAGTCTATGAGGGAGGAAGGGCAGTCAGTGAATAAACACTTACTCAGCACTTAGTATGTGCCAAGCACTGTGGTAAACCCTGGAGATACTAGGAAAGACAAAAGACAGTTCTTGCTGTCAGAGAGGAAAGAATCAAATTCTACTTTTCCCTTTCAGTTTTGCACAAAAAAATCATTAATGATTTTTTTAAAGTTGGAATTTTTTTCTTTTGCAAACCAAAATAATTTCCCTTCCTTCCATGATTAAAAAAATAAAATAGCGACCTCAGACAAGTCACCTCTCTTGGTCTCCAGTTCCACACTGGTCAAATAAGAGAGTTGAACTAGATGACCTCTCCGGTCCCTTCCAGCTCTCAGGCTATGACCCTATGATCTTCCAACCACAATTTGCTGTGGCCTGGTACTGTGTTACAAAGGAAAATATGGCCCTGTAAAAATTAGATTCTCTGCAATACCACATTATCTTACTTCATATTTGACCACAAAAAGAAGTCAAATTAGGCCATCATGAGTTTTTGTTCATAGATCATAAGAAATAAACAAAAGGGGAAAAAATTTACTGTGCAAGCATTTTATATGCTCATTCAAGATTGGCAGTGAAGAATTGGACCAAAGTATGGCATTGAGTTAAATTTTTCATTTATTGAAGGTCTCTGATTATAAAATTCTAGGTGCAGTTTAGGAGAACTGTCAGCTAGGTGGTGCAGTAGATAAAAAGACCAGCCCTCAGAAAATCTGTGCTCAAATCCTGCCTCAGACTATTTTTAGTTGTGTCTGGCCAAGTCATTTACCTGCCTGCCTCAGTTTTCTCATCTATAAAACTGGGGATAATTATAGCAACCTACCACTTAGAGCAGTCATAAGGAAAAAATGAAATATTTGCAAAGTGCTTTGCAAACTTTAAAGCACTAAATAAACTGCATTTAAATAAATGAATATTAAATAATGGGCAGCTAGGTGGCACAGCAGCCTCAGACACTTACCAGCTGTGTGATCCTGGGCAAGTCACTTAACCCCATTTACTTTCCTTTCCTCATCTGTAAAATGATCTGGAGAAAGTAATGGCAAACTACTCCAGTACCTTTGCCAAGAAGAGTCTGACAGGACTCAACAATATTATTTTTTACCTATGTGTGGCTGTAACATCACCCCAGAAAGACCAATTAAAACATATTTTTGGACCATCATTGAACATGAAAGTACTCTCTCTTTCCATATCATATGAAAATCCTAAAATACTTAACAAGTATTAATGAATTAAGTCTAATAACAATGAGCATAAGGAGTTGTTATTAGATCTAATTTACAAAATCAGAAACTAAGGCAAAGACAAGCTTGAGTCCAAGCCAAAGGTCACCCTGGGAGTTGGTGGTGGCAGATCTGAGAACAGAATTCAAGAGACTGTTGTCTGCTGATTTAATTACTTGTTCAGACAGCCCCGTTTTAATTTTGAATGCCATTCTCTAATTGATAATGGGTTTCTTCCATTTTGACTTTCAAGAAGAGGATAATTTGCTTGAATTCTTAGAGATCTCTTTCTCATTCAGTTGGGTTGCTATTGATGCCATTCACCCAGTCCATCTGGCGATTTGGAGGCATGTTTGTTTCGTAATTGCTTGGCAGCTATATTAAATTGCTCTGAACCGTCGGATACCCTAGTCTTTGTGGGAACGGTGACTTTTGTCAAAGATAAGGTCTTAAATGCTCTTATTTGGCACTTATCAAGGATCTTATCACACATAAAAGCTCTGGCTGTATTCTCTCTCCCTTCTCCCTAGGAAGCAGATAACAGGAACTTTGAAATGAGCCCTGTGCTGGTTACAATGGACTAACCTGATTAGAAATCTTGCAAACTCTTGTTTCTCTCTCTCTCTCTCTCTCTCTCTCTCTCTCTCTCTCTCTCTCTCTCTCTCTCTCTCTCTCTCTCTCTCTCTCTCTCTCTCCTGCTCGCTGTATTCCCCCACAGGCTGAATTATAGCTCTCCTACCAGTCCCACAGCGTTGAATGATGTCATGGGATCTGCAGTTCGCCTAGATGAAAGGGATAAAGCACAACCCGCTGGCACTAGGAAAAACTCCCAACACACAATCCACAACACAGCTTGGGAACTGAAAAAGCTACAGATCCAGCCACTCAACTCGGGGGAGCCAGGAAGGAATCCTCCGCATTCTCCCGGCCCAGAAACGAGGGGAGAAGCCAAAGTGAGCAACATTTAACAAAGCCATTTAAGGACCCAGAAGGCAGGGAGGTAACAACCTGCCGAAAAGAGAATTTTCTTTTTAACACATATTTGAAAAGAAAAAAAGCCAAAACAACTTAGCACTGCCTTTGATGCAATGGCATCTGATCACTGATCAGATTACAGGCATTTGGTCTCCGTGCTCGTCTGCCTTTGATCTGCACGGTTAATTTTATTTTCCTGGATTTGGAGTTTCGTCCGGACTTGTGCTGACACACATTTTTGGGGGAGGAAGAAGCATTTGGTACAGAAGTGGTGCCAGTGTGAAACTAAATTACTGAAAGGGCGGAGACTGGAGAGATTTCAGCACGTTGCAGGTACTACATTTTATATCTTGTTGCAGGCTTTTTATTAGTAGTATTTATTATTACTATTATCCTCTGTGTGTATGTGTGTGTGTGTGTGTGTGTGTGTGTGTGTGTGTGTGTGTGTGTGTGTGTGTGTGTTGGGAGCAAATAAGTTTAACCCTCTCGATCCAGAATCTGCCCGTCGATGCAACGCCACCCTTCTAAGTATAAATGTCAGAGGAAATGTAATAGTTGATTTATGCAGCAGGCATTGTTTGCAGTGGTATGTTTGCACAGTTTGCTGTGAAAAATTTAGTTGCAAGCAACCAGAAGAGACAAGTTCAGCTAGCCAAAGTAAATGGCTGTGGCAACTTGAGCATGCAGCAGAAGTAGCAGAAAGAATACCTCACCCAAGGAGTAGATGTAGTTTTTAGTATATAGATACGTGTAGATTAAGTATGGAGATGTAAAGATTTTTGTTCGTTTTAGTTTTTTGTTTATAAATAGCTATATCTGATTTTTTTTAAAGGCAGGGGAAGTTTACCTAAAACAAATTTACTTCCTTATATAAAAGAGCAAAGTAAATCTCTTGCATAAACTGTATTTTGCTCGTGTGCTTTAATAAATAAATATATACACACACCATATGTAATATATGTTTAAGTAAATATTTATACATATGTACATATAAACACTACAACTGTATGTCCTCCTGCAGTTTGCTGAGAATCTTTGAAAAAATATATTATTCAAGCTTTTGATTTGTAAAACTAAATATCATTTTTTTCTCTTTTAAGTGAAGCCAAGTTGTCCTAAACTTGGTTGGAAGCCCTGTGCAGATACTGTGTGCCCTTTTGAAAGATCAAGACCCATTCAAAAGAAGACTCAAAAATGTTTTATACTAATTATCAAGTTAGCATTATACTAATTACCAGTGATAGCTGCTGCCAGTTAAAATCTGCCACTTGTGTTTATGAAAATTATCTAAATGTCAACACTCAGGATTTCACATAAAATAGAAGTTTGAGTTTCACTTCAAGTTCAGTTAAGGTACACACTGTGGCAAAGCACAGATCTAACCCACGCAGATGAACTGAATTTGAAAAGAGAAAGTTGATTATTAACAAAACAAGACAGTCTCAAGTACCTTATCAGTTCATTAAGTAGCAAAATAGTGAAATCTTTTCATTTTGAACATAATCACAAAAAGGCACTATGAAATGATGGAGAGATCAGTGTTTTTCACATTGATTCATTAAAAACATCTCCCCCATCCCACTCCTTGTTTTATTTGGGTAGAATATTCAGTTAACATACAATACTCTGTTTTGTGTTACCTAAAAGAAACCAAGATCATGTTAAATGGTGATAGGGCCAGTTACCATTTACCCTGGCATTCTGATGAAATAAGTATGGCCTAATGAGGCCTGATTTCATCTATCATTAATTTCCCCAAACCAATTAATTTGCATTCCTTTGTAAAGCAGCTGCCTGATATTAGGAGGAGGGCAATTATCACTGTAGGTCTGATTTTCCTACTTCGATAGTTGTCAGTGGAGGTTATTTAAGACCATGCCAAGCTGACTGTGATTTAAAGGGCTGTCAGTAAGAATTTAATCTTCCAGTCTTAACTGTTGCTTTTACTGGTGCCAGGAGAGGTATTTAAATTTTTATTCTCCTAACAATGCAACAAATTATGACCATGACCTCCCAGAGCATCACTTTTTATTTTTATGTAGTTTACTTAATGTACTTCAGACTACTCCAGGCTTACTGTACCAGGGTGCAAAGAAAACTCAAAGAAAGGGCTATGAAGTGACAATTGAGAAAGCAGCCTGTAGATATACTTTGCTCTGGCCCTCAGGATTGTCTCGGTCATTTTCCCCCTTTTAATTCGGTTTCACATAGTGATTTATCCTTTTGTTAATCTCATTATAACAAACTTGAGCTGTCTACACAGAACAAAATGGAAAAAAAAAAGTTGGCAAATATGTGGTTAATTCAGGCCAGAGGGCCAGAGCAGGCAATTCAGGTCTCCCCCTCCCCGATCCATTTTACCTGAATTAATTAAATTAAATAAATAACTGCTGACTTTGTATAGACACAGCCTCAGGCTGAGAAATTACACAAGTCACAATGTTTAAAAAAGAACAATTGGGTAGAGCTGTAATTATAGGTTTCCATGTCAATGAGCTAGCAATTCTCAATTTCAGAAGTACAGCGTGATTGATAACTACTCAAAGATTGCCCTGGCTGTGTGCTGTGGCGATGGTGGGGGTGAATGTACCAGATAGCATAGTGAGTAGCATAACTGTCTAACAACTGTTCTAACAAGTGTATTGTGTAGCCGACTGGGGAACAATGTTAGTCTTTGAGATACAAAGATAGCAACTTCCCCTGGTGTGCATTTTCTGCTACCAGACAGCTATGTCAAGCACTTTTGTCTATCAACATGGCAGCTCCAAATTACTTCTCAGCTATCCCCTTTTTGCATCTCTACCACATGAATCGGTTTCTACATTCCTACCGGAGAGTATCACATACACCAAGTTAGTAGGCTTAGCAAGGCAAGCAAAAGTATGCCTTCTAAAAATATTATCATTATGGTTATTTATCACCACATTTAAAATAGTTTTTGTGAATTTTCTAAATGCCACTGAGAAATTGTATTTAGCCAACTGTCTGGAGAATTTAAGGAGAATTTGGAGTTTTCCTAAATATTTCCAGTGAGCTCCCCAGACACTAGCTTAAAGCTTTGGCTGCATATGCTAAAACTCCCATTGATATTATTGTGAAACAACTGTGAACAAATCTCATTATCTGTTCCATATATGGAAGCACTTATGATTTTTTAAAATCTCTTTCCACATTACTGGGAATGCTTTTCAGTAGCCTTTCCTGCCTTTTTCTTTCTTGAAAACAAAATGCCTAAGCAGAAAAAGCAAATATTCCAGATAAGGAATGTATTAAGGTATTTGCCAGTGCCAATTAAAGTAATGTGGGTAATTTGCTTACCAACTCTAATATGTAAGACCTATATATACACAACATTTTCTAGGTAAAACAGCCATCATCCACAAGTTGTATTTGATTATTACAAAGGATCACATAGAACTCAAGAAAAATTCCAGATTGACAATAAATTATTTTTTATCAAAGGTGCTACAAAGAGGTAACAACCTTATTTTCAAAGCTTAGTGTGGTTCAGATCTTCTAACAATCTTCTCCTATAACACTTTTGCATATTATATTTGAACAGATAATTATGGGTGCCATAATTCTGCCAGTTATCACACAATCCAGAGACAGTGCAGTATAGTGGGCAGAGAGTGGGTCTCAAGGATGAAGGAAGGCCAAGGGTCCAAGTTCTTTCATGTACAAACCTGCTTCTTGACAATCTTTCAGTGCCCTCCAAGCAACTCTATAAACTGAAGAGCAGGTATAGGACACAAGTGAGGTCCAACAAATATCACAGAGTTATAGAGTTTAAACATGTATCCATTTGTCCTCTTTTTCAGGGTAGAACTAACCATATCTTGGTCAGCCACTCGGTTGGCCTGACTCTTTCCCCTCTGAGTAAGGAAAGAAAGATCCCCCAAGATGGCATGAAGATGCCACAGGCATCCACAAAGATATAAAAACACAAAGTTCATACCTGGGGCATTCTGATGGAGGAAGGGAAAGAAAAATTTTTGAAAGAATTCATTCAACCTAAAGTGAAACATGGAGAAACTGGTTTTATCAGAGTTGAAAGGAAGTTGGAACTTCCAGAGAGGACAATCTCTGTTCACATTCACAGCACAGACTTCTGCTGCTACCTCATACTTCTTCCTTTAAATAGATAGGGATTAGAAAAAGAGAAGCACGAAGGGAGAAAAATGAGAAAAAGAGGAAGCACAGGAAGCTTTTCTAGCCTCCAAACCAAAGATGACTCCAACCTATCTTTTTCAAAATTCTAACTTCTCTATCATGGAAAGAATAGAATAGACTGAGTTTGAATCTCCTTCTTTTCATATAAAAAGTACATGAGTTTAACCATCCAGGAATGCTTGGGGCAAAGATTTTTTTTTTAAAGGAGGTAGCTTCTCAGTAGCTAGGCGGCAGATGGATAGAATGCTAGGCCTAAAGTCAGAGCACTCATTTTCCTGAGTTCTAATCTGATCTCAGACACTTTACTAGCTGTGTGACCCTGGCCAAGTCACATAACTCTGTTTACCTCAGTTTCCTCATTTGTAAAAATGAGCTGGAGAAGGAAATGGCAAACCACTCCAGTGTCTTTGCCACGAAAACCCCAAATGGGGTCATAAAGAGTTAGACACAATGGAAATGACCAGACAAAAACAACAACAAAAGGTTCTCAGCACTACGCTCTAAATCATGACACATTTATTTGCATCATTTCATTTAGCAGACATCATATATGTAAAGTATGATGTCCAAGCAGCCTCCTTATCCACTATATGTTTATGTGTGTGCATAATGTACATGTGTACCTATACATATGTGTGCATGTGTGCACATATATATATGTCTACATGGCTATATGTCTGACCTCCAATGCATTGATTAAAGTCAGTATTTCTCCAGTCTGCCTTTCCAAGCTTATTATCTATTATTTCTTCTCATGCACTCTATCTATATTCCAGCCAAACTGTCCTAGTCACCAGTGCTTGATAACATTCCAACTCCAGATTCTGTGCACAGGCTGTGCCCCAAGGAACATTCTCCCTCATTTCTGCCTCTTTGAATCTCTATCCACCTCCTCCAGAAAGGCTTTCCTATTTTTTCCATTTGCTAGGCTCCTTCCTCAGGATTTACTCTGTGCATATTTTGCATTTATTTATAAGAAGATGTATTGCTTCCTTTAGAATCTAAGCTACTTTAGGCTAGATACTATTTTATTTTTACCTTTGTATTCATAGCACTTAGCAAAGTTTGGGGCACATAATAGGTACATAATAATAATAATAATAATAACATTTACATAGCAATGACTATGTGCCAGACACTGTGCTAAGTGCTTTATAATT